CCTTTGATCAAAAAAAATTTTCTAGTGTTGTCAGATTAAAACTTATCACCTACGGTCATGATCATCACTAGCTACCAACCAATATAAAGGAAATGTCGAGAAGGATAGTCCGTAAGGAGGAACCTTTTTTAGCACGATTCAAAGAGAATCCTGAAGACATATGGATGACAGCTACTGACAATGCACATAAAATCTGGAACGTAATGTACAGATATCTTGGTTGGATACTATGGCGGCTTTTTTACATTTTTATAGTGTTGCATAAAGCGTTGACGATTCAAAGGTTCGCCGACGACGAATACAAAATCCCGAGTGTTTCTTGGAAGGAAATTGCGATATTGCTAGGTAGTCTTTATTTGACGTGGAACTGTTTTATGCGTTACAAGGATTATCAGTTTTTTTCGCGACCAGATTTCGAAGGACCTCCGTCAAACACGAGCCATTTCCATTTGGCTGATCGCGTAGCCGAAGGTCCGCCTGGATGGGCTGAAACAGGGATTGGTCGATTACTGTAAGTACATAAACATCAACTATATGTTGACGATTAAACATAAAACTTATTTTTCTAATATTATCTCTTCTTCCACGTAGATATCCGATCTATGCTGTGTTCTTTACACGACCAGAAACATCTGATCAAATATGGGTCATGCGTACATGGGAGCCGAGGCGTTACTTCTTACGAAGTTTTTGTTGGTTTTCGCCTGCGCAATTAATAATGTACCATATAATGACACCCGGGAAAGCGATATATATGTCTGCTGCTATCCTTACCACCGCGTTTTTTCTTCGGAAACTCGTGGATATGTTTGATGCAATGTTGCAGGATAAACAAGTGATATACGGGCAAATGCTCGCGGAATACAATGAGAATTTTATCGCGCCGCGTGTATTTGTCCCAAAAATATCTCATGAGGTTCAGACTCGAGGTGGATTTTGGGATAAGTTGACCGAAATAAAATTGAATTCGAAGGAGTCGATATCACACCAACCTATTCATGTTCAATCAGACTCACGATATAATTCTAGTAAAGACTATCATCAACAACCAATTCCTCAACTTAATTCTTTTGGCGGGAATTCTCGTCAATCGCGATCATCACACAATAATTTTACTGAAAGTCGTCATACATCATCAAGTTCTCAAAATTCGACCAGAAGGAACAATGCCGCTTCCTCCTCCTCTTATTCAGCAAGAAATCATCCGATACCCAAGCAGCATAATACGCGCTCGAGTGCACGTAAAAATGCAGATTCTACATTTAAATTATCATCGCCGTCGTCGTCATCGTCGACAACAATTAAAGATGAAGCAACATTATCAACACCGATTACATTTTCAAGTTCAATAACAACTTCCTCCAACATTACAGCACCTCGTAGTTCACGAACTACACGCAAAAATCATAGTAATAATAATATTAATAATAACAATGCTGCTGTGGCATCATCCTCCAAACCACAAAAGTTCTCAAGATCTACCGTGCAAAAGGAAGAATATGAATGCCCCGCGGATAAACCTAGTCCTTACAAAACAAAGGACAATATATTTCAATACGGATATGGACCAATATCTGACTATGTAGAAGATTGGCCAGCAAAAAACACTTCAAGTTCTTCACAACGA